TCCTCATCACATGGTATTGGCCCCTCTCCCGTCTCTACACCGAATCAGAGGAGTTTTGAGAACGTGAACGATTGGCTTGTGCACCTCACATTCAGGACACAGCCTGGTAGACAGTGGACACTCCACACATATGTGTGCGTTAAGCTTTGGTGGTTGAACAATGGCGGGTTCTCTCAAGAGCTCCCTGGGCCCTTCGGGGAAGAAGAAATCAAGAGGAGCCCTGCGACCCAGTCAGCAGGGGGCGCTGGTGGGTCACAGTCGCAGAATCAGGGCGTGACTATGACAGGCACACATGACGGGTCATAGAGGCTAAGAATCTCAGAATCTTGACACAAGCAGGGAACAGAAACCATCTGGCTTCTGATAATCATGGACTCACTAGGCTGCTGAGCAAGGGGCATATCTCCTGCCAGTCCAGGGAAGACAGTTTCCGGAAGCCAAGCTCGAAAAGCACGAATTGAAAAGAGACAAAAAGAAGTGACCAGAGCAGGTAACCCTGCCTGTCTTCCTGACTGTCCGTTCGTCCATTCATTCATTCCTTGGTACTGAAGGCTACATAGTGTCGTACAGTGTTAGATGCCGAGAACAGTGGCAAGCAGGACAGTGAGGACGCCCGTGTTCATCAAGCAACACACCAGAGAAGACAGACGATTAGGGAAATCATGGTAAAAAGGTAGAGAGGTAGCGAGAAGTTCAGGGAACGCCAAGAACTTATATCGGAGCCACAGACCCTGTGAGTTAGGGATGTCTTCTCAAGTGATGTGGAAGCTGAGGCTTCAGATTTGAGTACGATTTCCTGAGTGTAAGGATGCGTGTTCTAGGCCATGGGAAGAGCAGTACAAACGTCCAGACGGAGGCCAGCAGAATTTAGCAAGGATCTGCTCGGGGCCAGTCTGACAACACAGAGGAACAGTGGCTGGAGATGAGGTGGGCTGGTGGGCAGAGGTCCCACAGAGGGCAGCCTCGCATCCCCAGGCAGAGAAACAAGGAGAACACTGGAAGGCGTGGGGCCTGACGGCACTGCCCTTTCCCTCCCCTTTAGTGCACGGGACTCATTCCCAAGCTGCTCTCCATCTTTGACGTCTCTGTCTCCAGCGGGGACTTGTTCTCAGGACCCGCCCAAAGAGGAAGTGCTGGGAGGGGTTGACTGGGAGCAGCCAGGTGAACCCTCTGGTCACTGGGATGAGAACTGCTCCTATACAAACAGCCTAGCCTGGACTTGGGAGGGTAGAGCCTGACATACTGGATCTCCCAGTGGGCAGGAGGCTCTCAGCTGTCAGTCCAGGGGCCCTGGCTGCAGAGGGAGAAAGGTGAACCACAGACCCAGAGGAGGAAAGAGAGAATGGAAAACAGTGACAGACAGAGAGGCACGGGGAAGAAATTGTGAAGAAAGCAAACAATGCTCAGAGAAAAGCAATGGAACAAGTTTTAAAGGGCTTACCGTCCACCCCACCACCCGTTCCTCACCCCCTTCCAACTCCACCTCTTTTCCCCTGATCTCAGGTCTGGCCCCTCAGGGGACAGAGGGGACAGGTTCAGACAACAAGGAGCCTGAGTCATATACCAGGCTCCCAGCGCACACACATGTGTGCATGCATACGTGTGTGCACACACACATGCACAAGCTCACTCTCCAGGGCTGCAGGACACCCAAGTACACACAGACTTTCTGTCAAACAGCTTCAAAGACCATAAAGGAGGCAGAGAGCAAGGCTCCATGGACCTTAACCCTCCTCTCTTTTCCCCCATTTTCCTGCTGATGTCTGCCTTCTGTTTTCCTGTGTGTGTCTCTCTTTGCCTTGCCTCTCCTTCCTCTTCCTCCCAGGCAAGTCAGGGCTTGGACAGGGCAGGTCTCTGTCACCGCAACCTCTCTGCAGCATCTCCTAACCTGAAGGGAGGGACTGTGTGACTTGTGTCCTACTCCCACCCCTTAGGAACTCTGGTCCTGTGTCGTGTGCTTAAAACTAAGCAGAAACCTCTCCCTGGATGACAGAATTAATTCCCGAATAACTGGCAGGCATAGAGTCACAAGGGAATTAAGGCCGACACCCTACTCCAGGAGTCACTTTTGCCTCTCAGGTGGGAACCTGCCGCTGACACAGTTGAGGCTGCAGCCGGACGGCCAGGGACTTGGGAGACTGTGGAGGGTGCAGAGCCAGTGGCAGGGGCCCTGTGAGGTGATGCTTCCTTCTCACATATCTTTCACTCTGGTGCTCCAGCTCGGGAGGTGCACAGCATAGTGGACCCCAAATGGGAGTCACTTCAGTCTGTCCTCAAGACACACAAGCTGCACAGTGACAGCCCCTCTTCAGGCACATGCTGGGGACTCCCTCCCACAGAACCCCAGGATGAGGCTCTGGCGGTTCTGAAAGTGGATGGAGAGAGGCTGAGCTGGGCGGAGGTGTCAGCCACACCTGGCTCACTGGGGCCTGGCTTGCACACCTGAGCTGAGCGAGGTGGAGCCCCAGATGAAAGGGCTGAGCTAAGAGCCTGACATCCATCATCTGAGACAACTGAGGCCCTGGGTCTACAGCAAAGTGGGTCACCGGACAGGTCTGCCTCAGGAACCACCTAACATGAAAATCCTGCACAGATTCTGTGAACTAGAGCTGCCTTCATTGGCAAGAAGGGGCTGATAAGCCTTTCTGTCTCTACTCAGGGAACCCTCAGGAAGTCTTCGTTGCAAGGGGATTCGTACCTCCTATACCCAGGAAGTCCCCTATCCCAGGACACAGAAAAGAGCAAACAGATGAGAACCATGGCTTTCTCAGCACATGGAGTGTTTGGAGCAGAGCCGGGAGATGGTGTGTTAGTCACTCAGTTGTGTCTGATTCTTTGTGACCCCTGTGGGTCGGTACTATAGCCCATCAGGCTCCTCTGTCCATGGGATTCTCCAGGCAAGAAAACTGGAGTGGTTACCATTTCTTTCTCCAGGGGATCTTCCCGACCCAGGGATTGAACCTGGGTCTGCTGCATTGCAGGCAGATTCTTTACCATCTGAGCCATTAGAGGAGAGGGTGGCAGCTGGCAGAACAAGGGTGGGATGGGGAACAGGGAAGAATCCACTAGAAGGAGGAGCTGAGGCCAGAATAGAAGCAAGTTCCATTAGGAGCTGTTCACACAGGCTCCAGTTTTAAAGCCTGATGAACAAATATAACAAAATCTCAATTCGATGCAGCCATACAGCCATGGCCAGAAGACTCAAGTTCTTCCTTCCTGTGCTTGCGCTTCTGCATAAACACACACTCATACACACACACACAAGGACATATGAGTGTGTGTGTCTCATGGAAAGCCAACAGCAATAACTGGTTCAGTTTAAAAAAACAGTATGGAGGGAACTCCCTGGTGGTCCAGTGGTTAGGACTCTGCACTTTCACTACATGGGGCCTGGTTTGATCCCTGGTTGGGGACCTCAGATCCCACAGGCTACAAACAAGAAAATTTTAAAAATTAAAAAAAAAAAGAGGCTTATCTTTGGATGCTGGAGGCTGGAGGGTAGAAGCAGTTGATCTCAGCAGTTGTCAGATGAACTCCCATACCTACCCGTCTGCACCCTGGTGACCAGCTCTCATAGACCCACCTCTGACAGACCCAGAACCTGCCTTACAGGGGTCTGTGGCCTTGTGGGATGAGCCCCCAATTGGAGTACAGGCTCATTTCCCCTCCTCCACATCTCCTCTGAGGCTAGAGGACTCTCTGTCTATGGACTCCTGGCCACTTCTAGACCATCTGTCCTGCTCTGGGGCCTCCCAGTGGCTTTCATCCATGTTCGTAAAGAGGTAGTGGGCAGAAACCAGAGGGGCTGCCCCAGGGGCCATATATTGGGTCCTAGGCCTGTGGATCTAAGGAGAACTTTCCTGGATTTCCTGGGTAGGAGAAAGGTGGGTTGATAAGATGCAAAGAAAAGAGTTGTTTGGGTTTTTCTTACTCCTAAAAGAATTGGAAGATTACAAAAGTCCTGAATGGCTGAGTCTGAGGACGCATACAGGGTCCAATTACCCCCTCTGCATTGCCAACACTGTACCAGCATAGAAGAAGAGATAAAGGTCAGAGAACTGCTTTACTCTATGACTCAGGAGTCATAGAGCCAGCCTGGATCTCGGCCCTCCATGCCAAAAACAGTGGCCTCTCCGTTTCCTCTTGCTGGAAGGGCCCCCAAGGCAGTGACTTCTTACTCACTGGGGAGAATGGGAGGAGGTGGTGCTTTCAGGACCAGTCAACAAGTCATCTAGCAAGACTCTCATTGCACCTGCGCTCCTGGGTAGCACCAGACCAAGGACATAAGACCAAGCATATGCTCTGAGTGGGGATGGAAACTGCTTTGAATCTACCTAACAGCAACTGAGGTAGATCACTAAACCTCTGTCTTACTTATAGGTAAAATGGGGTGAAAACACTGACCTCTCAGGTTGGCTGCTATCACTTATGATATGTTTGTGAAGTGCTCACCACTCGACTCAGACTCAATTGTCAAGGGTCATACTCTTCCTCATTAGCCAAGAGACCCCAGGCAAAATTATTACATATTCTGGTCTTTCCTTTTCCACTGGGAAATTGACCCCCTTTGGGGCTTCCCAGGTGGCACTAGTGGTAAAGAACCCACCTGCAAATATAGGAGATTTAAGAGATGCAGGTTGGATCCCTGGGTTGGGAAGATCCCCTGGAGAAGGGAATGGCAATCCACTCCAGTATTCTGGCCTGGAGAATCCCATGCACAGAGGAGCCTGGTGAGCTATAGTCCATGGGGTTGCAAGAGTCAGATATCACTGAGCAATTGAGCACAGCACAGTGAGGAACCAGCTCACGGACCTGAATGAAAGCCCAGTACTGTGAGACTGGGTTCCCTCTGAACATCTTGGCCTGATTTCCCAGCCCTTGTCTGTGTCATTGCTCTGAAGACTGGTGTATCTGGGGGTCAAAGAAGGAGTGAGGGAATGCAGATAGCCAGCTTTTTCTCTGAAAATCTTTTTGTTCTAGGACCCCCAAAACTTGAGAAGATGTGTGACCAACCAAAGAGCCACTCATGCTGCCCGCCAAAATGCAGTCCAAGCTGCCCACCAAAATGCAGTCCAAGCTGCCCGCCAAAATGCAACCCAGTCTGCCCACCAAAATGCAACCCATGCTGCCCATCAAAATGCAACCCATGCTGCCCATCAAAGCCATGCTGCTGTTTGGAGCCCAAGCCTGAGTGTACTTGCCTTAATAAGGAGCCTGATCCTGCTGCACCCCAAACTCAGAACAACTCCGAAACCCCGCAGCAGTCCCAAAGCCCGAAGCAGGGGTCCAAAAGTCCCCGGGGGCAAAAGTAACCAGACAAGTAGATTGTCCCAAACAAGTAGACAGGCCATGCCCATCACCCAGCAGCGTCAGGCTAGACCCACCTTTAGAAAAGCTGTTTCTCAGTGACCACCATTTACTTTCGACCAGAAGCCCCTACCTCCCTTCAGAACCCCCCACCCTTGTGAGGCCCCAGCTGGAAATGTGAGGTTGAAAAAGCTAGAACCATCTTGCCTAGTGATCCTGATATTAGATAGCACAAAAATAAAAGAGCAATAAAGAAAATCACCTCTCTTTCCTCCTTTACCTGTGAAACCATTGAAACCATCTCACTTGTCTGGCCTAAGTCCAGGAAAATGTGCTATGCATGTCATGAAGGCACCCAGGACCCAGAAAACCAGAGTCTGGAAGCACAAGGCCTCTGCTGAGCCAGAATTAGAGTGACTGACTCATCCTGGTTTTAAGATGAAAGTTCCGTGTTCAGGAATCCCTCCAGTCCCAGGAAAAGGGGGGTGAAGGTGGTCAGTCACCCTAAGCGAAGGAATTCCAGTGCCCCTGGGTCCTGGGGCAACACATTTGAGGTCAAACCAGCAAAATCACATGCCAAGGAGTGACTCCCCTCTCTCACCCCCAAGATCTTCCTAGAACCGGAGCTCCCAGGACTCAGCCAAGCACTGTGACTGGCCCAGGTAGCAGAGTCTTATGGCATCAATACCAGCTCTGCAATGGTGGAGCAAGTTGTTGGACCCTCTCAGGCTCCATTTCCTCATCTGTAAAATGAGAGTAATGGTACTTCAAAAGGTTTTTATGAGAATGAAATAGGATCATTCATTTAAAGCGTTTAACATCAGATCTGACACATCATGGATACGCAATGCATGGTTCTCAAACTTCTCTATCAGTCACCAGGTACCTTTTTCCCTCCAGAAGAGTTACCATGATAAAACAATTTGCCCACAAAACAGTTCAGTTCATCTGGTGCACAGGTAGAAATAGAGAAACCAGCCCCATTCACTACACTGTGGACATCACTTCTTCCTGTATTCTTGGTATACAACTGCTATGTCCATTCCTTCTAACATTTTTTAATGCCCTTCTGTATTTCCTCCCTCATGATCCTCCCGGTCCACCAATCCCAGAAAACAACTGATCTACTTTGGGTCCCTATAAATGAGTTTGAACTTTCAAGAATTTTATGTAAAGAGAATCATCCAGTATGTATTCTCTTATGCCTGGCTTCTTTCACTCAGCAAAACTACTTTGAGATTCAAACAAGTTGTGGCATGTATCAATTATTCATTACTTTTTATTGCTGGGTAGTAAGTGCCCTCATTGTATGGATAATACCCGCATTTTGTTTACCCATTGATCTATTGATGGACACTTGGATTGTTTCCAGGTTTTGACTATTACAAATAAAGCTGCCCTGTACATTCATGACAAGTCTTTGGATGGGCTATGCTTTCATTTCTCTTGAGTAAAGGCCTAAAAGACTAGAATGACTGTTACACGGTAGGTGTATGTTTTACTTATTAAGAAACTGCCCAACCGTTTCCCAAAATGGTTGGCCATTTTACATTCCCACTGGACATATATGAGAATTCTGGTTGCTGCACATCTTTCTATTTTTGGATATTCTAATGGATATGCAGTGCTATTTCATTGAGTTTAATTTGCATTTCCTTTATGGCTACTGGTATGAACATCTTTCCATATGGTCACTTGTCTTCATATATCGTCTTTGGTGAATCATCTTTTCTAATATTTCCTCCATTACTTTACTGAGATGGTTAGTTTCTTATGACGGAATTCTGAGATTTTAAAAAATAGGCTATGAAATTAAAAGACGCTTGCTCTTTGGAAGAAAAGCTATGACAAACCTAAATAGCATGTTAAAAAGCAGACACACCACTCTTTGCTGACAAAAGTCCATATAGTTCAAGCTATGGTTTTTCCAGTAGTCACATAGAGATGTGTGAGTTGGACCATAAAGAAGTCTGATCGCCAAAGAATTGATGCTTTCTAACTGTAGTGTTGGAGAAGACTCTTGAGAGTCCTTTGGATAGCAAGGAGATCAATCAATCCTAAAGGAAACAAACCCTGAATAGTCATTGGAAGGACCCATTCTGAAGCTCCAATACTTTGGCCACCTGATGAGAACAACAGGAGATCCTGGTAAAGAACATGGAACTAATAAGCCATCACCAACTGGAAGAGTTTGGGAAAGGTCAAAAGGAGACACCATATGTCCAATCACCTCTCAGAATCCTTCTCACTGGCATCCATCTTGGCTGAACAAGGCATGCACCACCAGGAAGGACTCTAAGTTAGAGTGGTTGGCTAAAGACAACCCAGAAACTAATCCCGTCACCATAAAACCCGAGATGGCCACTTGGCAGAGCAGTTCTGGGTTCCCTGACCCTACTGCTCTCTACCCAGGCGCCCTTTCCCAATAAAATCTCTTGCTTTGTCAGCACATGTGTCTCCTCAGACAAATCATTTCTGAGTGGTAGACAAAAGCCCAGTTTCCATCCTGGTAAGAGGCCCCTCTTCCTGCAACACATGGGGTTACAACTGAATGACTGAACAACAAATATATGTATATTTGTTGTTTCTTTACCAGCTGAGCCATAACGGAAGCCCAAGAACACTGGGATGGGTAGCCTATCCCTTCTCCAGCAGATCGTCCTGACCCAGGAATCAACCTGGGGTCTCCTGCATTGCAGGTGGATTTTTACCTTCTGAGTTATCAGGGAAGCCCGTGTGGAATAACAATATATAGAGAGAGATATAAGTCCTTTATCAGGTAAGCTATTGCACATATTTCCCCCAGTCTGTGGATTATCTTTTCATTCTCTTCCACAGTTTCTTTCAAAGAGGAGGTGTTCTTAATTTTGATAAAATCCAATTATTTTTTTTTTCTTTTATGGATCTTGTTTTTGGTGTCATATCTAAGAAATCTTTGCCTAATCCTAGAACACAAAAATTTTCTCCTACATGTTCTTCTGTGAGTTACTTTTCAAAATACATGGTAAAAGCTTTGGACAAAGGGTTTTTTTGTTTTTGTTTTTTGTTTTTTTGAGTTGGGGAGTATGGAGGGGAATCTATGGATATTCAGTTGCTCTAGACTGTCCTTTCTCTACTGAATTGCCTTTGCAGTTTTGTCAAAAATCATCTGACCATATTTGTTTTTATTTACCTCTGAATTCTTACTTTGTTACATTGATCTATTTGTCCTTCCTGACATTTTCTTTCAAGATTTGAAATAGCTCAACTGGAATTCCATAACCTCCACTAGCTTTGTTCATAGTGATCCTTTCTAAGACCCACTTGACTTCACATTCCAGAATGTCTGGCTCTAGGTGAGTGATCACACCATTGTGATCTTTTTTTTGTACAGTTCTTCTGTGTATTCTTGCCACCTCTTCTTAATACCTCCTGCTTCTGTTAGGTCCATACCATTTCTGTCCTTTATTGAGCCCATCTTTGCATGAAATATTCCCTTGGTATCTCTAATTTTCTTGAAGAGATCTCTAGTCTTTCCCATGCTGCTGTTTTCCTCTATTTCTTTGCATTGATTGCTGAGGAAGGCTTTCTTATCTCTCCTGGCTATTCTTTGGAACTCTGCATTCAAATGGGAATATCTTTCCTTTTCTCCTTTGCTTTTCACTTCTCTCCTTTTCACAGCTATTTGTAAGGCCTCCTCAGACAGCCATTTTGCTTTTTTGCATTTCTTTTCCCTGGGGATGGTCTTAATCCCTATCTCCTGTACAATGTCATCACGAACCTCTGTCCATAGTTCATCAGGCACTCTGTCTATCATATCTAGTCCCTTAAATCTATTTCTCATTTCCACTGTATAATCATAAGGGATTTGATTTAGGTCATACCTGAATGATCTAGTGGTTTTCCCTACTTTCTTCAATTTAAGTCTGAATTTGGCAATAAGAAGTTCATGATCTGAGCCACAGTCAGTTCCCAGTCTTGTTTTTGCTGACTGTATCAAGCTTCTCCATCTTTGGCTGCAAAGAATATAATCAATCTGATTTAGGTGTTGACCATCTGGTGATGTCCATGTGTAGAGTCTTCTCTTGTGTTGTTGGAAGAGGGTGTTTGTTGGAAGTGGATGTGATGGAATTCCAGTTGAGCTATTTCAAATCCTAAAAGATGATGCTGTGAAAGTGCTGCCAGCATGTTTGGAAAACTCAGCAGTGGCTACAGGACTGGAAAAGGTCAGTTTTCATTCCAATCCCAAAGAAAGGCAATGCCAAAGAATGCTTGAACTACCACACAACTGCACTCATCCACACACTTATAAAGTAATGCTCAGAATTCTCCAAGCCAGGCTTCAGCAGTATGTGAACCGTGAACTTCCAGATGTTCAAGCTGGTTTTAGAAAAGGCAGAGGAACCAGAGATCAAATTGCCAACATCCACTGGATCATCGAAAAAGCAAGAGAGTTCCAGAAAAACATCTATTTCTGCTTTATTGACTATGCCAAAGCCTTTGACTGTGTGGTTCACAATAAACTGGAAAATTCTTAAAGAGATGGGAATACCAGACCATCTGACCTGTCCCTTGAGAAACCTGTATGCAGGTCAAGAAGCAACAGTTAGAACTGGACATGGAACAACAGACTGGTTCCAAATAGGAAGAGTATGTCAAGGCTGTATATTGTCACCCTGCTTATTTAACTTATATGCAGAGTACATCATGAGAAATGCTGGGCTGGAAGAAGCACAAGCTGGAATCAATATTGCCGGGAGAAACATCAATAACCTCAGATATGCAGATAACACCACCCTTATGGCAAAAAGTGAAGAGGAACTAAAAAGCCTCTTGACGAAACTGAAGGAGGAGAGTTAAAAAGTTGGCTTAAAGCTCAACATTCAGAAAACTAAGATCATGGCATCTGGTTCCATCACTTCATGGGAAATAGATGGGGAAACAGTGGAAACAGTGGCTGACTTTATTTTTCTTGGCTCCAAAATCACTGCAGATGGTGATTGCAGCCATGAAATTAAAAGACGCT